GGAGGAGGCAGGACATCGGATCAAGTCGGACACGGATCGGATCGCCAGCGGATCCGAATTGAGTCGAAATGGGATCGCTGCGCCTGGCGCCGGCTGGCCCCGGCCGACATCGGCGAATCGAACCGGAATCGCGTCGTAGGCGGCCCCGGAGGAGGCCCCGTGCTCCAAGGCGGAGGAGGCAGAGCGGCGTGGCGGCGGCGTGGCGGCGGTCCCGTGGAGGTCTTCGTGGTCCCGAACTTCTCCCCGAGCTTCTCCAGAACTTCCTCGACAAGCCGGGGGGGTGCCTCGGGGGCCTGGCTCGAAGAAGACAAGCCTGTATGAGCATAAACTTGCGAAAGTCCCGCAGATGTCCTGGATCGGCGCCGGAGGCGTTTCCAGGGGAGCCCAGCGCCGATCCCAGAAATCTTCGCGGAATTCCGACGATACATGCTTATGTCATTCCCTTTTCTTCGATCGAGGTTTGCACCAACACCAACACCAATATCGACGGCCAAGGAGTTCGGGTGTTGCCAGAAGTCCCCTGGCCCGAGGTGCCCCCAGGATTTCCAAGGAGGGCCCCCGCGGCCTCCAGAGCACCCCAGAGGCTCCAGAATGGATCGAGGGGGCACCTTGGGCCAGGGGCACCTTTAGCAACCGACCAATGGAGAATCCCGAATGGTTAGATCCGACGCTGCGCGAAACAACAAGACCGGAACCCAGACCCCAATCGATCCTTGAGAGTCCCAGGGCCCGAAACAAGGCAGAGTCGCTGGTTGTGAAAAAACAGATCGACACCAGGATCTCAAAATCTGAACACAGTCAAGCTGCTACAATGAGGAACGCAAAATAGGAAACGGAGACCCTTGTGGCACCTAAACAGCCCGGGTGCACGAAGGCTAGAGGAACAACCACGGGAAGGTCTAAGGAACAGCGAGCCAATTCCGAACCAGAAGATATCCTTATTGCAGCAGCGTCTTGACTGTACCTTGATTGCTGCGACCATGACCCAATCTGGGGGTCATCCTTGAGGCAGCCGCAGGGTCTGAACTGGACGGGGCCCGAAGAAAACGGTCAAACAAGGAGGATTCGGCACTCAAAATTGGCCCCCACATCCGGCGCAGTTTTTCACTCTGGATCCGTTGCTGACGGCCCCGGGGCCCACAAACGGCCCCCAAAGGCCGAAAAAGGGAACCGACTTGTTCGAACCCATGCAGCACCTCGAACCTGGCCCCCCCCCCAGTTCCTTCTGGCCGGAACCAGTGCTGGGCCACCTCGGACCTCTTGTCGGCGGCGAGGGTCATCCGCAGTCGGTGAGGGCGACCGTGAATGTTGGCGTTGGTGCCAGCCCGCTAGGCCTCCGAGGGCCCGTGGGCTGCGCCTCCGAGGGCCCGCGGGGGGCGGGCAAGCGCCGCAGCAGGCGGGCGCCCATCGGCTTCGAGGGCTCGGGGCGCACCCTCTCTTTCCACCCCGTGGGCTGCGCGCGACGACGACGAGGAAGAGGATGACGAAGCGGACGCACGTTTGCACAAAGATGTGCCGGTCCACTGGGTCCCTTCAAGACGACACAGGTGGAGCTGGGAGCCCCCCCCCCATGGTGCCCCCGCCTCCACGTTCGAATCCGAAGCGCGTCATCGAAAACCTATAAACTGTCGTACAGTTTGGGGCCCTGTGGCCTGAATATGGAGGATGTCTCGAGCGGGAGCCTCGTCTGTGAATGAATCGCGACGAAGTCTCAAGCGGGAGCCCCCTCCCTGCGGGGCCCACAATCCACGTTCGAATCCGAGGCGGGTCATCAGAAACTTGTAACCGTTATCACTGTTGGGCTCCTGAGGACGTCTCAAGCAGGTGTCCGTCCTTGTGGGGCCCCTACACCTCCATGTTCGAATCCGAACGAGGTCGTCGGAGACTTGAACTGTGATCACTTTTGGCCTCCTCGGGCTTGAATGTTGAGGGCGCCTCGGGCGGGAACCTGGTTTGTGAGTGATTCGCGAGGACGCTTCCAGCGGGAATCACTCCTTTTGGGTCCAGCCTCCACATTCGAACCAGGGCGGGGCACGTCTGGGCGCATCAGGCCTGAAGCGCGTGGATGAATTGGGCGGGGTCTTCGCGTGTGAATGATTCGCGCCTGCGCTCGGACCATGGCGCCGAATTTCGAGGAGCTGGGGTATCGAACTGGCATGCTTCGTTGTTGGCTGCACCTCTACGTCACGCTATCCCGCGCAACGCGTATGCGGAGTGTGCTGATCTTGCGGCCGCCCACGCGGAGCGTTCCTGGAGCGCGGGCCGCCGGCGCCATTGCGGAAGGCGCTCGAGGAGTTCGACAAAAGAGCGGTGGACTCCAGGGCTGAGGCGGAGAAGCTCGCGGCAGAGCTGGACTTCAAGCTGCAATCCGCCTGAGCGCGGCCGCGATTACCTTGAGGCCTGCAGGGTTGTCCCCGGAGCGCGTTTACTTATTTTCATAAATGAACCAATGAAGGGGAAGAGGGGCCATGGGGGGGCATAGAGGAACGCCTCCCCCCCGCCGCGCGCCCGATGCGCACGGCGGTGGTGCCCGGAGCGCCCCGGAGGGGGGGGGGGGGGGGCGGGGGCTACAATGCTCATTGTGCCCCAAGCAATGAGGAAACGCGCCCCGAGGCAGGGCAGCTTGCGGCCGAGCTGGACTTCAAGCTGCCATCCGCCTGAGCGCGGCCGCGGAGGAGGAGGAGGAAGAGGAGGCGGAGGAGGCGAGGAGGGGAGGAGGGGGAGGAGGAGGGGGAGGAGGAGGAGGAGAGGAGGAGGAGGAGGAGGAGGAGGAGGACAGGCAAAAGGAGGAGGAGGAGGGGAGGAAGGAGGGAGGAGGAGAGGAGGAGTAGGAGGAGGAGGAGGAGAGGAGGAGGAGGAGGAGGAGGAGGAGGAGATCTCCCTCGAGTACCTCGAGGCCTGCGGGGTTGCCCCGACGACTGGCTCCAGGCGCCCCAGCGGCTCGCGGGGGGCTGTCCCAACGGCCTCGCCTGCGGGGCCCGCCCCGACAGCTTCGCGACCCGGCCATCGGAGAACGCGCCCATGCCTGCCGCGGGGGCAACGGCGCCGAGGAACATCGGTTTGCCCCAGCCAGGAGGCAGGGGCCGTGCATGGCGAGAACAGGCAGGAGGATACGACAGGGACAATGAGGATGGCGATGAGGAGGAGGACAAGAAGGAGGACGAGGAGGAGGAGGAGGAGCAGGGAAAGAGGGAGAAGGAGTAGGAGCAGGAGGAGGAGGAGGAGGAGGAGGAGGAGGAGGAGGAGGAGGAGGAGGAGAGGGGGCGAGAAGGAGGAGGAGACCGAGGGCGAAGAGGAGTATGAGGAGGCGCATCAGAGGGCGCGAGGACGCTTCCGCCAAGACGACGAGAGAGGAAGCGAGGTGCCAGCTGAATCGATTCTCGGTTGGGGTCCTACCGTCGGCGAAATGGTATAATATACTAGGGACCGCCCCTCCCTCTACTCGCGGACGGTTGCGTGCATCCCCCCTGCTCACCGAGGCCACATCCCGCGTGCCCGCTCGGAGGTGATGCACTCCCAGCATGGCAGCTAACGCCTGAACCCCATTGCACGCGTTCTCGCTCGAGGATGGTGCACTTCCCGCCTGGCAGCTACTGCCTGAACCCCCATTCCACGCGAACCCGCTCGAGGAAGGTGCAAGTCCAGCATGGCAGCTAACGCCTGAAACCTCATTTCACGCGCGCATGCTCAAGGACTGTGCATTTCCCGCATGGCTGACTCCTAGGCCCCCCATCCCACGCGCACCCGCTCGAGGATCGTGTACTTTACGCATTCCCAGGCACTGTTCTCAAGCGCTCCAGGCCCTCCCAAGCAAAGATCCATCGTTAAAAACGAGAAATGCGCGTCCCGAGCTTCCAAGACGGCCCGTGCAGGCAACCAAGGACACCAAGATAGCGCAGAATGCCTCGAAGACGGCCCAAGATGGCCCCGAGGCGACCGAATACTGATTGAAGTCGGCCCAAGATGCCTCCAAGAGGGCCCAGAATTGCCACAAGAGGATCTCCAACATGGCACGAA